TCTAGTGCACATCTCAATTCCTACAAATCTAGTAGCTGGGCTTTATGTATGATACATCCTAAAAATCAATCAGAATGCATTCAGTATAGTCATACCAGTCATTACTGAAAATTTAATATGTCAAACATTCTGAGTACAATAGCACAGTATCATCATCACAGACAAAAAAAAAAAAAAAAAAAGACAGATCAAGTTCAGGTGTCTAACAGATTATATGCCTATGTGCTTTTGCTTGCTTTGCAATGTGAAAGTTTGGAAAGATCTCCATGCCAAATCAAACGTTCAGCATCCCCCTGTTAGACAAAAAGAGAAACTGAGAGCAGAAAGAACCTCTCTTTTCCTTTGTTCAAAAATGCTTTATAAAATTACCTTCAGAGGGTTAACAAGCAGATTAAAAGTATTCTGTCCCTGGATATCTGGGCATTGCTTCCAAATGCAGTTTATGACTTTCAAACTCAGATGAGACTGTTTCAGAATATAAGAAAATGTGTCTGCCAGTTGACTCAAACATATTGGTAAAACAAGTAACAATTTGGGCCCTCATCATTCAAATATAAAACGAGAAAATGTAATGTCTGTGCATACCAGAACACTTGGGTAATTAACTGAATGGACACCAAAACAGGACAGTGGATTTGTTCAGGAAGTTCTTACAAGCCAGAATAGATGGGAACTATTAAACCTTGGCACAAATCCAAAATAAGGCTCTAAAAACTACTTACATAAATACAGGCTTAGTTTTTAATGGAAACTGCTTCTTCTTCCTTTTACCAGTAAGCTATGGGGCAGACTTAGCACTGGTTGTTCCCAGAAACAAGAATGCAAGAAAAGGAGTCATTTGTAAAATGTTACTGGAAACCAAATGGCTTTGGCAAATGAATAGGTTTTCAAGTAAATCAGGTAATAGACAATGTTATAAAATATCTGTTTGTACAAAGGACATCTAGCACTTTTTTTTTTAATATGGGAAAACCAGATTTTCATGATTTAGTAATATTGCTTCTCAAGAGAGAGAATGATAAATTACTATTTTCCCCTCCAACTGGAAAGCACTGTACTTTTTAGAAGGCAATTTCAGTTTGAATGCTTAAACATAACAAAGGAACTTCCTTACCAAAGATGCCATTATGAAAAAGGAATATACAATCTGAGGGGGGTGGAGCATGGGGAACCTTTTTCCACATATCAAACAAACTATCCTTAAAATTACATTCTTACTTTTTAAAAAATTAGTTTCAACTAGTTTCAACTTTCTCTATTTCAAGATTTTATATGTACACAGTTACTAAATTGTTGATAAGGAACAGAAAGGTACCTGGGCCATATATACAAAGCATTAAAAAAATAATTCCATTAAAAAAATAATTACATGAAGGAACAAAATTTTTGCAGCAAGTTGCTACTAAAATGCACAACATTTCATTACTTTTGTGTATTGGGACCATAGCCATTTCTACTTAAAAATAACAATAAGTAACTGATTTATTTTTTTTCTTAAAGGTAGATCTGGAGAAGCAGAAAGAAAGGTGGGGTCCACTTTGTTCCATCAGAGAATTTTAAAATTAGAATACAAGCAATGGAATTTAAAAATAAACGAAGCACACTGTACGGCAGGAGGATGTGTCTTTAAACTGACTTGTTTTATCTGGGTAAGAGAATTGTATAAATTTTACACAAGTTAATCACTCGTGTCTAAAACCATATAAGATGAAATACAAAATGCTGGTTTAACAAAGAGCAAGAAAAGACCCTTAGGAGTTTGAGATCACTGTTTTGGAATCAAAACAAAAATAAAGCTAGCTATAAAATTACCACTTTGGAAGGCTTGCCTAATGGGAGAGCAATTAGATCTCATAAAGAATCAAGTCATATCGCTGTCAGGTGCCTAAAACTTGCATAGAAGGCTAATATATTTTCTGCTAAAAAATATGATCAGTGGGACCAAATAAAGGTTCAAATTAGAAAACTGGGTCTAAGCAACTAAGTAATTTAAGGAAAAACAACTTTCCCAAGATAGGAAGAAATTTTCTAAAACTTAAAAACATGTATCCAGTATTTATTGCTCTCTTCATGTACTTATATATTCAAGCATCATAACACTTGATAGAATATTTACAGTGATTATTCCTTATCATTCCATACACTGGTGCCACACTGTCATATGTTATTTCTGTGGACTCTAAAAGCGAGAGAAAGATTTTTACAATTCCCGAATATTGCCTGTACGAAATATTGAGTCAATCTCAAAAGACCAGATCCTGTCTGGAAATAATATGCTGTACGCATAGACATGAAAGCTATAAGATGCATGGTGCAACACATGCAGAATTATCTATGAATTTTGCAGGTAGAGAAAAAGCAAATAGAGTGAAAAATGTCCAAGTAAAACTGTATCGTTCATATACATTCAGCTTGCTCCTGCTACCCCTTCCAATCCCCCCCAAATCAATTTACAGCTGTACCAAACCATTTGCCAGACTTTCAGATTCTGGTAAACAAGTTTCTCCAGGGACAAATAAGAGCACTCACAAACTCACAGCATTCTTCTTTCCAGTTTGCATTGAGAACTGCCAATATTTACATATGCAACAGCTGATTCAATCATTTTTTACAACATTGAAAGCACACAGTAAAGAAAAAACCTGAAGATATTCAGAATCTAAAATAGCACTAAGTATTTCATTCTTTTCTTGGAGATTTTTCTATTGACTCCAATTAATCTTTTATGGGCTTGTGAACTTAGAGATTTTTCTTTGTATAAAAGAAGTTGATTGAGTTAATGGGGCCTGCCAGCAGGTTGTTCCAAGCTTTATTTACACCACCTGGAATTTTGTAAAGTTTTCTTAATTATTTCCTTTAGAATATATTTTATATATATATATATATATATATATATATATATATATATATATATAAATTTAACAGATCATGCTAACAATGTCTCTTCCAGGGACAATGTTACTCTTTTTTTGGATGACATTGTCTTCTCCACTCACTTTATTTATAACTGTGCTTCAAGATCAAGGAAATTTTCAGCATATGTTTATCATGCAAAGCAGAGTATTTCTGGGAAGAGTTAAGACAGAAGTAATAAAGAATTATGTGAAGAGTTGGGGTAAAAAGTTGATAATTTGAGGAACATCATTTTCCCCTTTCATAGTAAGAGAGCAGGCATTCCCAAACCCTAGATAAGACAGTGGTACTTTGAATCTGGTAAGCTCCAGCTCTGAATGCACACCTGTATGAAAACATCTGCAAATTGTTTTATTACAAGAGAAATCAATCAATAATGCAGGCACACAACTTCTGATGCTTAGCGCTACTGGCATTTCTTTCACCAAGTCAGATTCCAAAATCAGCTGTGAAGCCACACTTCTAATTCACTATCATCTATATAAACAGATCTGAGAATATCTGTCTTTTAATGGTACTTTTCATGTATTTTTATAGAACTTGGGCACTTACAACATTCTGTCATTCTACCTATTGTCTTACTAGACCCTAGCCATTTAATCCAACACCAGAAATCCAAATTCAAAGCAAATATGCTTACCTGAAAATCAAAGCCACAATATATGTCTTGGGAATTAGAGGGGCAGTGGGTTGCAGTTATTTTGTTTTTTTTTTTTTTTTTTTTGTTTTGTTTTTTTTTTGTTGTTGTTTTTTGTTTTTGGTGGGTTTTTTTGGTTTTTGTGCTTTTTTTTTGTTTCTGTTTTTGTTATTTGTTTTGGTTTGGGTTTTTTTTGTTTGGTTGGTTTTGTTTCTTTTTTTTTGTTGTTTTGTTTTGGGTCTGTTTTTTTTTTATTAATTTCTTAAGAGCGGGTTTGTGCTCAAAACCCAGGATTTTGGTTTGGTCCTTTCTCTTTAAAAAGTACTCGTTACCATGAACTTAGTGTCAGAACACAACACACTACAGCACCTTCAGGACATCTGATTTCCAGTACACTATATCAATTTACACCAAGACCAGGATGCAGCTTCACACCCATCTTTAGCCCTGGCACAACGACAGTGATATAGACTGGAACAAATTAAAGTCCAATTAGTTGCCTTCCTCATCCTTCCCACCTGAATCACGGACACTTGTTCAGTTGCACTGCCTGCCTGATTGTTTCAAAAGGTTTCAAGTAATAAGGCTTTATACTAGCACTGCCCCAATCTTCTGCAGCGCTGCAGAATTTGAACATACAGTAAAACTAAGCTACCATCAATTCATAAATGTAAAACTGACTGATTCTGGTATGCTATACAAAACCTGCCTCTCCACAAATGGTTTACAGGGAAACAATGTGTAATGTGGGAAATAAATAAGAGTATTGTTGCTCCAGTTTAAAGCTGAAAAATGCATGCTTCATAAATTTCTCCTTTTTAGAACAAAGGTAAAATAGCTTGGAAATCATCCTTGCTGACTACTTCAGTTTTTCACCTGTTCCCTGAGCTTTTTGCTCCACAGGTATGCAGAAGGAATGTGAGAATTTGCCCAAGGTGCTTTTTAAGTTCTAAGGGCTGGTAAAAAAGGAAATTGAATGCTGATCCACCTTTAATGTTGAAAAACAGAGAAGAATCCTTTTTTATTGCTACGAAAATGTGTTAACATTTCAAAATTATAGCCTTAAATGGTTAAACTGACAAAAAGTTCTCTCTTTGCAAATATTAGAAAGTTTACAAATTCTCTCAAAATCACCAATGCTGCCTGTAATCATCTACTTAGCAATATTTAAGTACTCTAATCTCTTTACATTTTTCTCTCTCACACACAAAAAATATCACTGAATGTTATTGTCCATAGATTTATTTGTTTTCCCAACAGACTGCCTTTAAATCCTATTTAATATGAGCTAAAATCTGTAGTCCTAACAGGTATGGTTTTCTCATCTAGCGCTTGAAAGGCACAGTGTTCTCTGTAAAGTGCCAGTGCAGCAGTAACAAATACAGAGAAGGCCTTACAGCAAAGCTTCTCACCTTGGAGCAGTTCATACCAATAATAGTTCAGTTCATACCTCTGTGATTGGTGAGGTCTCTTGATCCCAAAGGCAGAGGTGTATAGTGAATCTCTGGAGAGACAGAGGCAGCATCACTGGAAGCCTGTGTGATAGAACAAATATTGTCAGTACTCCAAGTGAAAGTCAATGATTATGCAAAGAGGATGCACCTGCAGGATGAGTGCTATGATGTGGTTACAGGTGCACAGAGTCACCAGCCATGGAGAATTAATTTGTTTTTGTTAAGGCTTCCTGCAATCCTTCAACATAGCTGTACTCACAATTATATTAGGTATCGTTACTAAAAGAGCATTTTCATACAGCTCACCACTTCAAAAAATTACCTTCTTTATCACAAAATCTTTGAGCAATGTTAAAAATGTTCTTATTGGTGAAACAGATTAATATTTACCTGAACGAAGTTAGGAGTAAGTCCACATATAAGAAAGGAGACAGAAAACATAATGCTGGGATAATATACCATACTTTTCAAAACTAAACAAAAAAATTATTCTGCTTTTCCACTGTCCTGTGAGCTAAATGAAGGGATCTCTTAAAAATTATAATGCCTATAATGCAAAAAAGTTGACAAGTATGTAGAATTACTAATAATAAACACTTAAAACCCACACCATAAGTCTAATACATTTCAGGAAGTACCAGGACGACTTGCTCAGAACCCTTAAAAGCAAAATGTTAAGGGAGAAGAAAGGAAATCTAAACCTTCCCCCGTAACAAAAATTTCAAGATCCTACGATTCCAATTTAAAAAGATTAGACTATGGAGCTATACTTCACAGTAAACCAATCTTCATCCAGTTGGATGTTTCAGCTGCAGGAAAGAGCAATATAAAGCCAAGCAAAGCCACATTTACCATCTTGGGGTTTTTTTTTTGTCATAGAGCAGCAGTGTTACATTGATAGGAAGAGATATGAAAATAAAGGAATGTGTTGGTGAATATGAGTCGTCATCACAGTTTTTACAATTCAGTTTAAATTAGATGGGTTGAGAGCATGGTAGTGATATGTCCAGTTTCAGGTATAGAGTTTGCTCAGGAGTGTTTGCAATCTACCCACTGCAACCTGCATAAAAAGATGATGGGTTTTAATGAAATACAGAAAGGACAGTGTTCACTAGAAATTACATGATAATTTCTAATAGAAAAGGCAAATAAAGACAAGAAATAAAAAGCTAAGCTATTTCTTGAATCTCATGATAATTTACTAAAGGAAGTCTTGAAAAAATAATTGCTATCTTCTATACAGGTTTTTCCCTAATGATATATTGGCTTACCAGCTGCAAAAGTCAAAACAATCTAACTCGATCTTATGTCTGATTTTGTAATTAATCATATCCTCAAAATTTAGAATTTTTTTAATTGAAATTAATTCAAAACCCAATTCACAATATTGGGTTAAGATAAAAATATAAAATAGGACTATAATGTTTTGGAGAAGAAAAAGCTTCAACACTAATTCAAATTTTAACTGTCAGACTAAACCTGAGAACAGCAATCAGAAATCCACAATAATGAAAACTAATCATGGTAATAGTTTGCTGAAGGCTGTAACTTAGAAAGCTTCTTTGTCATAGCTGTTGGACTCCTAGATGATAGATATTAAAATGTTAAGAGGTAAATAACTGGGTAGATTAACATACTAAGCTTTTGCTCTGGAGACCAGCTGTCAATTTCTATGTCAGGCCATAGTTATAGTCCCGTTTTTGTCCCTAGCAAAACTCAGGTCATAACAGGAAGATGAATCATGCATCAAAATAAACACCTTAATAGAGACAGGTTTGCCTAAACAGCAAGGATGCTATTTATTGAATATGAATAAAAATCTAGAAAATCCTGCCTTCACTGACTCACCAGTGGTAATATACCCTTTTCAGGGTACCTCCTTTTCAGAGAGATAATGCTATAGACACAACTCTCATCATCAGCTAGAGTGAATAATACTTTGGTTTTAGTGAACTATAAGCATGAAGCTCAATCTACCCTGGACTACGAAGTATTGGAAATCTTCCCTCTGAAGACCAGTATGAGCTAAGGGCACATAACATCTCAGAGGATAAGATAGATTCCCCTAAAACCCAGCAATGTGACATCCGAAAAGAATTCCAAGAACAGGCATCCGTTCACAACTATTTGTTTTCTTTGGGCAGAGTTGTTCTAAGACAAGAAGAAAAATGTCACCAACTATTTAACATAGGACTTCATCCCTGCAGATCACTCCAAAAGCTGGAGGAATAAGTGGTCTCACTGTACACTTTTGATGTTATCTGCCTATTCAAGTGTACTTATTGGAGCCTCTGATAATAGTGATGGTTTCTCTTTGGTACTTTTAATCTCAATTTAGACTGTTGACAGCTTGATGATAGGTTTTCCTAAAATTACTGGAAGAGACTTTGCCTTTTCAGCAACATACCACTGAGTGAGCAAAATTCAAGAGCTTCTAAAAAGGATATTGGAGTGAAGGGGCAATTTAGCTTTATTTCCAATTTTAGGAAAAGCAAGAGCAGAAGGGTTTGTTTATTGGTGTTTTGCTGTTATTTTATGTACAGTATATAATTCCCTGTCAAATATAGAATAGTTTTCATTACCTTTTAGCTAAACATTCAGTTGGAGCAACTTTAATTTGATGGAATATCATCCAGTTGTTTTGCATGAACAGTAGCTGGAGTTCTGAATCACATTTCTGAGTAAGCCTGTGCACCAGCAGAAAGACAACTATTTGTTTTCCCTACCACATACTGATGTTTGGCCCTAAGCTATTTTCCAAAGAGATTTGTATAGATTGTATTATTCTTAATATTCATTGGAATATTTTGACAGTGACAGCATTGGCACGTGACAGTTATGTTTTCAAGTGTTGGTGACATATTCATCAGTTCTTGTTGCAGTGGAAAATAACTACAAATACAAACAGCTTTGAGGGAAGCTGGTTAAAATTGGTGGTAACTTCAGTTTTATAGGAACAGGTCACTGAATAGCTCAGTAAAGAAATTCTAACAGAATTATTACAGGAGAATCGTGTATTCTTGCAAGCATAAAAGTCATCCAAGTTTTACAGTGTATCATAGTGCAAGGTATAAAAGTCACAAGGCCAATAAAGTTGGCTCCTCACAACCTATCCACATAACCAAACATTTGCTAAATTGAGGTATCTCTGTCTTCATATTAACCTGTAAGTTTTGTCTGAGCTAAGAATTGTTGTACCTGATACTAAATAGACAGATTATAAAAGAGATTCAGATTTTCAAACCATGTTCATCAAAATTATAGATACTGTAGAGGCCACAGTAGGAAAAAAAAACAACCAACCAACCAACCAAAAAAAAAAAAAAAACCAAAAACAAAAACCAAAAAAACTCCCCCCAAACCTAAACTTTAAGTAATTTTAAATAAAGCAATGGTTATTGCTGAGGCAATTTTACTTTCTGTTGATGAGTAAGATGTGGCTTGATATTAGGCTATATTGGCTGTAATGGAATATCATTAATACCTGTTGATAGTTTATATTCTTCTATCTGTGTCACATAGGTTGTATTTGCAACCAACTATTTCTCTAATAATATTTACCCTTATTTCTAAGGCATGCCACAAACTCTTTACACACCTATACACATCAGTAACTGTAGTAGCCATTAATGTATTACACTTGAAAAATTTTACAATACAAGAAGAGAAGCAGCATGTTGGCATGTTCCTCACAAGGGTTCAATAGATATACAGTGCACTTATGGAAAGATGTGATAAGTAAAATTATATCATTACACACCTACATACAAAGGAAGATTTCCTTTGCTAGATACATATAATTCCAAAATATTTTCAAAGGACGTCACAGAGAGAAATCTTAGTTTGATCAAGAGATCATCCAAAAGTGAGATGGTAGAGTGCAGAATGACATGTGGTAGTAAAAAATAAAATAATTAAGAAAATATTATTTACTGTAGAGCTGAAGACACAGATTAAGGGTTCTGTTGTATCTGTTACTTCAGAAAGATTTTAAGTGTTTAGGATTTCTACTTTGCAACATGTTTCTCATCTAGTATGGAAATATCTCAGATCTTCAGCATTTCAGAGTATGACTCATTTTTTTTTCTGGGAACTGATGAAGAGGCAAATTTCTTGGGGACAGCATGATACTCATTCTCTAAGTATGACCCACAATTATCAAGAAATCTTGTGTTCTGTGACACTGTTGTTTATTTTCATTCATCATAGTTTTAACACCTGTCAAAGTCATCTAGTAAGGTCACAGAGAAATGACCTTAGCAATTTGAAAGCTTGTTGCTTCTCATTCAATGATTTACATTCAAATAAAAATGGAAAACAACGTTGTGACATTGCAGTTATCAGCCCAATGGTACCTAATCACGCTATCAGATGCAAAACTTGTATTTAGTAAGAAAGTATGATTTATTTCAAAAGATTTTTAATATATCCACAGGGAAACTACAATTAAGAGTGAAGGAAATCACTGCATCATCAGCTTTTAAACTGACAAAAATATTTCTCCAGAAAGGTATATGATTAATGGGACAATCTGTGGTACAGTTCCAATTTATAGGATCAACTCATACTTGCTTTTGAAAAACTTTTTTTTTTTATGTAAACAAACAGTAATATTTTCCTGATAAGCTTATTCTGTCTCAAATGCACTCATTGCATAAAATTAAACATACTTTAACAGATATATGGCTTATTATAATTTTAAGAAATGTCCACATAAACTTCTACTTAGGCTAAGGAATCATTCTGGATCTCTTGAGCATATATATCTTCCCCAAGAGAGACAATGGCAACAGTCTTCAATCATTCATAAATAATTCAAAAACTTGCTTAAATATTTGTGTACTAATACATCAGGGATGTGTCGATTCAATCCCTTTGTAACACTGATGGCAGCAACTCGCATGTCTTAACCTGTGAGTATATTGAACCAACATGACTTGTTCATATTTGTGAAAAAATGTACAGAAATTTCCATGGAACTCCTCCTCAAGATTTTTTCCCCCAAAATTTTAGATAGAACTAACCAGAAATTAATTGTTTATAGATTAAATATATATATATATACAAATCATGCATAATTG